CCCCCCCCAGTGAATACCTATGAAGTTGCTTAGCAACAGAACCTATAAGCAAGCCAAGATGGGGAAATAGGGTTTTTTAAGATGATTTTTTTTTCTTAGCAAAAAAATATGGCAGTTCCTTTCTGGTAGCCAAGGTGATTAAAAGTCTTGTAGCATGTGGTTTTAGCTTTGTTATCTTCTAACTTACCCTTTGCAACTTCTGTGAAAGTAATGGAAAACTGAAAGATTGCTCTGCAAAAAGCAGAGCGAACAACCACAGCAGAATGCAGAGCCAGCAAGGAGACCAGCTCTTTGTAATTCCTCTCCAGATAAGGAGATGACTTGAGATCGCCCACAAGTGCTCTAGACAGTTGCTACTCACAAGGAGACAGTGGGCTTAGAGCTCTGAGAGACGAAAGAATAGTCATATTTTTGCTCAAACTGTGGTTAGTGCCTTTGAGAGGATTACCATGTTCAAATATTTCTTTTTTACTCACTTTTACAAATTGTGTCAACTACGTTTTACCTATTAGGAACCTCTGGATCGACAAGTTTAGGAACTTAAACAGGGGAGAAACAAAAAGCAAAAAAGTGGACTTAATGGACTTTTGATAAAATTCAGGACTGAAATGATGTTTACCAATAAGAGATGAAATATGGAAAGATGTTTGTTGCATTTTAAGAGAAGGTGGTATGTGACTAAAATGTTTTATACTTTTTGAAATGAAGAAGCAAATCGCTTCCTTATATATTTCTTTGCTTTTTCTTTATTATATTTGTATTTTTTCTTTCTTTTCTATTTCTTTTCTGCACCTTCTATTTTTTATTCTTTTATTTCTTTTAGTTTATAACAGGCATGTCAAACTCGCAATGTTATGTGACATCACGCGATGTATCGCAACTTTTTCCCCATTGCCGGCAATGGGGTGGGTGTGGTTTCAGTATGATGCATCCGGCCCATGGGCCGGCAGTTTGACATGCCTGGTTTATAACTACAACAGTAATAATTACTACAATCTTCAATAACTTCCTTACACTTTGCAATATATATATTAAGTAAGAAGTGTATTTTTAAAACAAAGGCAATGCAAGTCAATTCTAGCATACCATTTGGCTCTGCCTTCCTAGTAGAGAAATCGCCGTAGGGAGACATTCAAATATTCTGGTCATGAAATCAAATCTGATAGATACTTGATTCCTACAATCCAAGAAATATTTGAACACTTTCCTAGTTCTGCTGGCGCCCCATTGCTGGGCTAAATTGGGCCTGCGGAATTTGGTTTGGGATAATATAGACAGTTTTATTCTGTTACTTATCTGATTTCTAGCATTTTTCTTTCTTCTTTTTTTACAGATGCAATATAGCCCATCCTGAGTCCTGATGACAGAAGAGATTAAACTTCTGCAACAAATTAATTCAGGAGGATACGGCATGGGGACTTTTGGAATGCTTCTTTAATTTCAGTTTTTTGTTAATATAAATATTCCCATAACTCTCTGCTTTGGATAAAGACATGAATCAAGTACAATTAGAAGCTAGGAAGGTCAAGGAAATTGTTCAGCTTGCAAAATGTATACACTATACTCAATGTAGTGAGATTGTCCATAGATACTGAGAGAAGCCTTTATTCAAACTGTACTCTTTGATGTCTATTTTACTAGCTCTATCATAGAGAATTCAATATTATTCATATTCTGTACTTTTTTGGCCATTTTTTTTATAAAAATGGGAAGCATGAAAAAATATTATAAAGGCATGTTTATAATATTGTTTGTACATGTGCCTTGACCAAATTCTAAAATTAGGAGACCATGTGTCTAAATATGAGGGGCAAGCTACATTCAAATCCTGTTACTGAGAGATTAAGCTAATATTAATTTATACGTTTCTTAGGGGTAGTTCTTTCTTATGAGAATAAAGAGAATTTTAGGGAATGTTACTCAGTACAAAGTCCACAAATAATAGCCTTTAGCAGCATGTTAACAAGCCTGGCTAATCTCAAAAAAGTTAAGCAAGATTGAGTCTGGTTAGTATTTGTACTGGAGATTTGTAGGCTAGACTGAAGAAAGCAACAGATCCTTGTAGTCACCAGACATCAAGCTTAACTTTAAGTAGTCTTTACTTGAAATAAGATAGGCTTATCTAGACATACATATGTACAAAAATAGGAATGCTACTTGCAATTGCCTATCATGAGCGTGACACTAGATTAAAACTACAGGTAGTCCTCGACTTACAACAGTTCATTTAGTGACCATTCAAAGTTACAACGGCACTGAAAAAAGTGACATTACCTTTTTTCAGACTTATGACCGTTGCAGTATCCCTATGGTCATGTGATCAAAATTCAGACACTTGGCAACTGACTCATATTTATGATGGTGGCAGTGTCCTGGGGGTCATGTGATCACCCTTTGTGACCTTATGACAAACAAAGTCAATTATTTAACAACTGTATTACTAACTGAACACTGCACTGAACACTACTTAACAACTGGGGCAAGAAAGGTCGTAAAATGGAGCAAAACTCACTTAAATGTTTCACTTAACAGAAATTTTGGGCTCAATTGAGGTCGTAGGTTGAGTAGTATCCGTATATTGAGGGATGGAAACATTTGGCAAGTAACTTGTAAGAAAAGCAAAATATTATTTCAGTGCTTTATATGAATAACTTTCGTGGGTGGCTATTTTTAGCAAGAAGATACCATATGTCTTCTTTGGTGAATCCCAAACTGGAGAAGCAAGCTATCCCAAGTAAATCAGATTTGCTTAGCTGAAGGTTGCTTTTCAATATAATCAAGAAGCAACAATTAGGTAAAAAAAATATCATGAAGCAAGTTTATACAATCTGTTTTCTGTGATAAATGCACCATATGTAACCTAATCTTAAATTCTTAAAGATAAAGATAAAAGTCATAAATCATAATGTAAGAGATAATTTTGTAATCATACAAATTTATTGTAGAGGAAAACAGAAGCTTCTTCTATTTCTTTTTATTTTTTCTTATTGTACTTTTTGTTTTTTTCTTTCTTCTCTCTATTTTGTATTGGTTTATGTTTTTATATTCTTTTTAAAACATTTAATAAAATTTACTTTTTAAAGAAGCTAGAGGTGGGGAAGAAATAAGTAGAGTTATTCACTGATTAGTAAAAATACATTTCATTGTTTTCAGAATAGAGATAAATATTTTCCATATACTTGGTCTATTTTTCCAAACCCATACTTCTTGGCGGCTTCTCTATTACATCTCCATCAAAAGAAGAAGAAGAAAAAAGAATGTTTTCCTTGGTATATTTTTACTTTTATTTTAGCATTATTTGTAAGCTGCTTAGATGTTTTTTTCTTTTTAAATTGAGCAGCGTATAAACTGGATGAAATAAATGTACCAATATATAAAAAGTGCATAAAGCACAGAATACAGTGGCTTCTCTATCTATTCCTGTTTTAACTAATTGCAGGGATGTTATGAAGAAAAGTATCCACACCTTGTGGACAATGAAGAATGGAACTAAAATCACCCCCAATGACACCTTTTGCCTTCTCAAAAAAAAAATAATTGCAAAGAAATGCAAGGTCTGAATAATTAGAGCTATTTCTAGACATCGGCTTTTGCCAGTGTAATGTTTTGATTGCTCTTAGGAGACAATGTTTTAATTTAAGCTTGCTCCCTTCCTCAGTAGAAAATGTCATCTATAATTCAGAGAGGGCTAACATCTTTGCTTGTCCCTTAACACCTCCACTATGATGAACAAGGTGCTTGAGCACTCACTGCAATCTCCTTTTAGCTTGTCCACTCAGATCAAAAGAGGAACAGCTCTTAAAACCGTCTCCAAAACACTGAAATAATTATTAATTCATGTGGAGGTTTCCTCTTAAGTGTCTCCCCCCCTCTCTCTCCTCTATCTATGTGTCTTTATATTAATACAGTAAAATGCTTTCAGTCTGACAGTTTAAATGCAGTACACAGCACATAAAAGTTTATTTTGATTATTTTTCAAACAAAACATGTTATTCATTTATATTAAAAAGTATATATACCGACCACTAAAAAAAACTGGGTGATGTATATTTTTTAAAAAAAATACATCCTAGAGCAGGGCTTTTCAACCAGTGGTACGGGTACCACCTGTGGTACATTGGCACCTGGCAGGTGGTACGCAACCATCCTAGAAAAATGGTAGCGGGGGAGGGGAATGAGCTGAACCGGTGGCAGCACCGCACAAGCCTGAGTGAGAGATGGCTGGAGCTGCAGGGCTTTCAGGGCTCAGTGGAAGCGCCAGGATCAGCGCCAGGATCAGCTGGAGCTCGGTGCTGATCTTGGCGCTTCTGCTGAGCCCAAAAGAAGCACCAATTAGCTGGAATGTTGCAGCATCTCCAGGATTTACATTCAGATGCTTGGCAATTGATTCATATTTATGACAGTCACTGTGTCCCAGGGTCATGTGAAGTGACCAAAACCTGCTGCAACCACCCAGCAGACAGGGGGAATAAAAATCAACCCCCCACCCCCGCTGCCAATCCTCAACAGAAATGCTCACACCAATGAAAATCTCGGACAGGAGGAAGAGCGCCGCCGGGCGGGCAGGCAGGTGTCTTGCTCGGCTGTGGCTTGGGGGGCACTTTTTTCAGTGCCATTGTAACTTTGAACAGTCACTAAGCGAACTGTTGTAAGTCGAGGACTACCTGTACTTTATCACTTTTTTCCTTTTCTTTCTTTTTTTTGGTCATCAAGTTTTTGACACCTTGCTAGGCGACTGGTGGTACTTGGATACTGCCGTATCCTAAAAGTGGTACAATGGGTGAAAAGGTTGAAAAGCCCTGTCCTAGAGGAAACAGATTGCATAAGACAAGCACTGTCATATACTGTAGGAAGATTCCAGATAGGTGAAAGCTGTTGCACAAGGACATGTCAAGAGATACTCTATTCAAGAGAAGGTAGACCATCAACTTCCCAGATCCAGCCCATAGAACCAGGTATGGTATGGAGACAATCTACAGGTACAGAGCTCGTACTACAGAGTACCTATCTACTTATTTTAGAAGCTTAATAGAGTCCCAGGTAAAAGACGTTCCTTCCATTCCCTACTAGCATTGATGATGTTACCTAGTTTAGTAATGAAAAACCAAGCTCAGAGAACACCAAGGACTCCCATATTCCTTTTTTTCCTTATCTGGCTTTGCCCACACTGGTGTCTAGGCTTAAGTGAGTATGAATGACTTTCTCTGCTCTGTTCCGACAAAGCACATGCATGTGTGACTATGCATAACCATAGTCACTAGCTCAGGGGTAGGCAACCTTGGCTCTTTTATGACTCGTGGACTTCAATTCCCAGAATTCCTGAGCCAGCCATTCTGGGAGTTGAAGTCCACGAGTCATAAAAGAGCCAAGGTTGCCTACCCCTGCACTAGCTTGTTCCTGTGGATGTGTTTTTGCCAATTCTACAGCCCACCCAGCAACTTCACTCTGGAGGGCCAAGTTCTGAAAGGAGAAATCTGTTCTCTCTCCTTCTGCAGAAGCCCCCCCCAAAAGAATTAAGAAACCCGATTACACAAAGTTCCGATTTTTGTTCGGAGTGGCCCCTTCCTAGTTAGCTGCCTAGTATGCCAATTAGGGGGCACAGTGCCTTCAACAGACATAATGCTAAAGTTGGGGGCAACAAGTGAGGACCACTCTCTCCTTCACGCATCTGTAATCATGTGAGGCCTAATATCCAAACAAAGCTAAGCTTTTAGTCAATTTCACAGTAGGCCTTGTAATGGTCTCCTGCAGGCATATCAAAGGATTAGGGGGAGCAGGAATCCTCTACAGCTTTTCAATGAAAGGTAATCATCATCATTCATACGTTTGGATACTTGGTTAATCTGAAAACAGAAATTCTTCCATCTTTTCATCCATTTTCCAAGGTTAGATATTTATCTCAAATCATTTCTTAGTGTTTTCCTGGACAACTATGGGCCACAGTTTTGGAGCTTAAAACTGAATTAAATTACCATGCTATATTGGAAGTCATTATCTCTTTTACAGAGCAAAATCTTTACTTCACTGATGCTATGAATTCATATCTTCCTGCATTTAAAAAAAAGTGTAAAAGAACACCCTTGTTTTTCATTTTTCTTGTGTGGTTTTACTACGTTTGCAGAATGGTTTCTCTCAGTTCACAACGTCTTCCAGCTGTCTTTCAGAGACATCCATACATGCACGGATACATTCATACATATATAATAGTATACATGTTTCTATTTTGGAGAAACCAGTCTCTGGCTCAGTACTTTATTTAAACATCCTGAATCCTGGGACAAGAACCTCTGCTTCTAAAGAAAAAATAAAATACTCCGTATTTTAAGGTCTCAGGCTTTCTCGCTGACGCTGTTAATTGGAGAATTTTAGCAAAATATTATCCTGCCTCTTTAACAATATAAAAATAACTCTAGCAAGCCTGCGTACCTAAAAAAAAATAAATACTGTACGTTTATCGCCCTGAAGTCAAAAAGTTATCTTTAAATACAGGTAGTCCTTGACTTATGATAGCAATTCTGACAATTTCCTTCACTAAGGAATGTGGATTGTACTGCTTAACATTAGCAATCCCTGTAGGCCCTGTTGCCATCATTAACTTAATCCCACAGTCGCTAAGTAAGGCGACTTCCTGCCCGGTTCCCACAATCAAAGTCAGTGGGAAAGACAGCGGGAAGATGCAAGTCCACACCCTATAGGAAGCTAAGTGGCTGCTACTAGGCGGGGAGGGAGCAAGGGGATGTGCAAAAGTATGGGAGAGGGTATAGCATTAGTAATAGCCCTTATATACCGTTTCACAGTGCTTTACAGCCCTCTCTAAACAGTTTACAGAGCCAGCCTATGGCCCCCAACAACCCCGGAAGGATGGAGGGCTGAGTCAACCTTGAGCCACTCAGAATCGAACTGCTGGCAGTCAGCAGAATTAACCTGCAATACTGCATTCTAACCTCTGAGCCACCATGTCTAGGAAGGTGTGCAAGAGATGTGTCTTCAAGAAGTGCAGCACAGGTTGGGGAGGAAGCGCAAGAGGTGTGGCACGGGTTGGGCAGGTGCATGAGGGTGTGCAAGAGGTGCATGAGGGTGTGAGTCAGGTAAGTTGCATGGCACAGGTTAGGTGTGCATGGGGGGTATAATGTGAATGAGGAGGGTGTGCAGGGGTACACGAATTGGCATGGTCTCAGTGCAGAAGGGCTAAGGGAGACTAACCCTAGTGATTTTCTATATTCCTCACTGACTTTATAGGAAAGCTAGCAGGGAAGGTTGCAAATGGCAATCACATGATTATAGAGAGCTTGGCAATCGATTGCAAATGCAAATGGGTTCCAAGCACTCAAATTGTGACCAAGTAAGTGCAGGGTTCTGGAAAGGCCAGAACTCTGAGGACTGGTCATAATTAACCACTTGTTCAGCAATATCATAACTTGAAACGGTTGCTGTTCGAACAATCATAGATCGAGGACTACCTGTCTCCCCGGAACAAAAGCCGAATGCATTTTCTATTTGAAAGGTCACCATCTGAACACAATGTAAGAAAAAATAAAATGTATGCCTCACTTTCCCAAGAAGACACAAAGTACCAGATACTAAGCAATTTGTCAAGAACACAAAGCAAAACAAATTTATCATTCGAGGTTCATAAAATAAGGTGACTCTCTTTCATTCTCAACAAAAAAAACCTCTTTAGATCTACAAACTAAGAAAAAAAGTATAGTAAGAATTTGAATTATTGCCAAGTGAGCTTCCAAGGCATGTACTAGTAATAAAAAAATATTTGCCCTGCATATGATAAAAGCTCAACAGATGTCCCACTTTCTCCCATTCCACTCCTAATATATACAGAGATATACAAAGCTGTTCGGAAAAACAGCTTTTGTTTTCTAGAAGCAAAACTTATCCAATACTCACAGCATGCTTAGGTTTTCCAGGCCTGTAAATGCTCCACTGGTGTCTTCTATTGTCCCTGAAATCTCGTTATGATCCAGATTCCTAGGGAGAAGATGACAAAAGAAAACTCGCAATCAATTTCCCAGTTTGTGAGCCCAGTGTTCAAAGAGGCTCACAAAGGCCAACCTTTAGGAAACCTTCCTCAAAGACACTGCCTTTTGTTCCGGTAGCATAAAGCTTTCATCAGAAGCATTTCTGGAAAAACAGTAGTAATTTACTCTAGTTGACTAGACTTGGCCTCTTCTGTATTGTTTTCTTTCAAAGAAAACTCCCACAAGTGATGCTTCTGCTACCTGATTCTCCTCAACTGAGTAAGGGCTTTACTTCTTCTGGTGTTCAGAAAATGCAAGAAAAAGAATTTATTTTACACCCACCCACCCCTAAAGTCTTTTTGGAGTGGGACAGTCTTAACAAATCTAATAAAGCTAGTAACTAGAAGTAAGCCCAAAGGTGCTTTTATTTTAAAGGCAACTGGACTTTCTGGTTTTTCTTTAAGATGTTTCACATTTAATCCAAGAAGCTTCTTCAATTCATCTTCTTCAGAACTGAAGAAGCTTCTTAGATGAGAAATGAAACATCTTAAAAGAAAAATCAGAGAGAGTCCACCTGTCTTTAAAATAAAAGTACCTTTGAGACCACCACGACCTAGATGAATGAGAATCTTCATAGGCAACTAGAAGTAAGGATGAGAACATGCAAATAGTTACAAATACAGTCACTATGGTTTTACTGGGGTTGAGTCACGGGAAAGGGGGCTCCCAGGCTTTAGGGCATAGCTCAGCTGGGTGATATAAATGTGGCTACCAAAAGTTCCTCCTCCCCCTCACCACCACCCCCACTAACATCAAAAGAGTGAGGCCTGGGTAATAAAGGCAATAAAGCAATCAGGGGAGAAAAATGGGATCTAGAGGTAGATGGCAAAGCATTTAAAGTCCAGGGGTTGAGAGGCAAGCATGAACAAGGTCGCTTCTATTTTTATGTTTTGCATGGAATCATTTGCTCTTTATTCCAGAGTAAGCTTCTTGTTTCCCTCCATTTTTCTTTCTGCAAAGAGAAATCGATCTCTGAAGGATTGGGAAACGGCACATGATCGTCTTGCCATATGCGTGAGATGAACTGAAGGGGGAATTTGGTGTGTGGGTGAGATTTCTGCAACATCCTTTTTTTAAAAAATAAATAAAAATTAATTGACTTTTACATTGTATTTTGCATAAAAGGAGAAAAGAGAGTTTACTGCTCTTCTGGTTCTTCTAAGAAGAACATCATTTTGTGAGAAGCACACTTTCTCATAAATATATATTTTTTTTAAAAAATCCCAACATATAGGGATCCAGTATTCTAGTTCAGTTTTCTTTGCATTCTCTTTGCTTTTCTCACAACCTCTGTTGCCAATTTCCTATTCTTTCTGGCTGGCTGGCCCTGAAAGCATACTGCCTTGTTAATCATTCTGCTGTGAGGTCTCTGGGACTGACCTCTATTTGAATAGCTTCTCATTTCAGCAGTTTCACACCCACCAAAGGCTTGTCAACAATAGATCGCAATTAAAGCATGCCCAGCTCTTTTTCACCAGGTGCAGGGACTGATGGGCCTTCCTCTTGATTCAATTAGAACTTGCTCTCCCGCCCTCCTTTCCTCTCTGTGTACTGGACACAAAAGGAGACGGAGAATTAGCTGCAAGCCAAACACTCTTTTCAGTTTGGGAAAAGTCTTTCGTCCTTTTCTGTGCCAGCTGCCTAGGAGCAAGCCCTTTCTGAAAACAGGCCTGGGATTGAAAAGTGGGTCTGGGAAAGGCAAAGAAACATAAAGCCCGTCCTAACTTCAATAAAAGGAATAAATAACTGCACAGTGCAGTAACCAAGGGGGGAAAGTCTGTGTTTCTTTTCCATTAAGCTTCAACTTCAAAAGAGCTTAGGAGAAAAGAATTTTAAATAAGTAATTTGGAGCACTGTTCATTTGGTGGAAGGACATTATTTAAAAACAACAACAACAAGGATCCTATAAAATTATTCAGGTTTTCAGCTAAGGATTTCACAAAACCAAAAGTATCAACAATTGTGCACATAGAATGGTAAGTCAGTAAAAGACTGAACTAAAGAAGAAATATCCCATTAAATAAAGGGGTAAAATGTCTCCTTGAACACACTTATGGCACTTTTCTTCTTTAGTTGAGTCTGGAGGCAATATTTGCTACACTGGAAGTTTCCCAGAAGCTGTTAAATGGAGAGACGGTCATCCTCAGCTGATGTCCTCTCAGTACCAACAACTACTATGGTTCAATTCATCCACATAGTCTAAGTTTGGGGTAGATATTGTTGTTTAAATGTTTATGGAGATTCTCAATCATCCAGGTCACGGTTGTCCCAAAGAGGTCCTTTTCCAAAAGGCAACTCAACTTTTTTGGGTTTTTTTTTCTTTAAAAATGTTTCATTTCTCATCCAAGAAGCTTCTTCAATTCTGACTGGTTGGGGAATGGAAGGATTTATATTCTTTGCAGTCATCTAGTTATTAGCACTCTTCCTTTTGTTTGAAACAGGAGTCAAAAAAGCCATCTATGTCAAAACTGAACAGTCCTCTCTCAACAGATAGGAAGGGATATGACACCATCCATCTCCTTTTTACAATCCAGTCCTTTCAGCCGTCCCAAGAATGTTCCACACCCGTTTGTATTCTAATTTGGGTGACTCTGAGGATACAGATAAACCCCCAAGGGGCCTCCATAACTCTGGAGAGCTTTGAGATCCTCAAACTGCTAATGACCAGATAATTGTAAAGAATATAAATCCTTCCATTCCCCACCAGTCAGAACTGAAGAAGTATCTTGGAAGACAAGCAAATGGTTATCAAAGAAAAAAAAAACCCAAGAAAGTCCAGTTGCCTTTGGAAAATGCACCTTTGGGATATTCATTGTCTAATTAAGAGAAAGCAAAAGCAAATATCAAGACCTATCCCTTTTATTCCTCTCAAGAGTTAACCTGACAAACAAAAAGAAAAAGCTCTTACAGGACACGTAAGCTTTTGAGTCCCTTAAACACTCCTTCGGCAATGTGACTGACAGAGTTGTGACTCAGGTGAAGGATCTCCAGGCTTCCCAGATCTGCTAAACTTCCTTTATCCAGTCTGGTTAAGTTGTTAAATGACAAGGACCTGAGGGAAAAAAAGCAAAATTTCAGTGTAAAACATTTATTTTTTCTTCTTGATGATAACTCTACTGGATAGTTCCTTTGTCCTGAAAATAATTTAGTTCATGAATATCCTAAATGTTTTTCCTGTGGAAAGAGGGTCAAGAATATCCATGTCAGATAAAGTATTTACTGTATGGGTAAAATAAAGCCAGAAGCTAACTCATTTAACCCAAAAGCTCCTTCAGGTTCTCAGAACTTATTCATAGAGTTACGCCCAATTATTCCATCTAGTCATTGGCAAAGTCAAAGCGTATTTGCTTTCAGAGTGAGTTATCTTCAAGCTAACTTCAAGATCTTGGTTATACTACGGTACAGCAATCCTGCTAAATCATTGAAATAATTGTCTATATTTCTTTGAACCAAGGAAACAGATATCCATATATCCTTCCAGCAATTTGGAAGGTTATTAAGACTTGGCTTTTTACTATGATGCTGGGATAGGATTATATAGGCAGACAGAATGGAAGGAAGGTGGTCGAGCCTGCAGTGAGACATCCTAGGGGGACAATCGTCGTGACACAGGGTTTTTGTTTTATTGTTTACTGTTTTATGATTGCTTGATTTACTGAGTTAATTGTTGTAAGCCACCAAGATGGGCAGCCATATAAATATTTTATAAACATATACCCCAAACCCCAGATTCAGCCGTGAAACTTAGGAAGTGCCTAAGAACTGGAAGGATTGCAAAGCAGGGGCTGTCTCTCTGCCATCTGATCTTAGTCATAATAAATGGTCAGCTCCAAAATATCAGGAGACTATGGTTTCCCACTAATTGAACTTCTTACGTAAGTTGCTGTCTCCTTTTCCTAATTTTCTTCTTTCATGCATCAGAATAGCAACATTTGGGGGGGAATCCCTCAGATTGCCTTGCATCGTACAGAGGCTCAAGACTCCCTATCCCTGACTACAATAAAGACTGATTTGACTACCCATTTCCCTTACCCCTTTCCCCTTAAATGTTCTCCAGCTTCCTCCACCCACAGCAAATAAAAGATAGAATAAACATTTGGACCCCATGTAATCCAGGCATGCTCCGAGGGCTGTGAATTCAAAAGTAGGAAGCTCAGTGAGGTGCATGAACTATGTACCTATGGCAGTGGTTCTCAACCTGTGGGTCGGGACCCCATTTGGGGTCGATCGACCATTTCACGGAGGTTGCCAAGCAAGGCTGTCCGCCATTTTTTTTGTCCGCCATTTTTTTTGTCCGCCATTTTTTTTGTCCGCCATTTTTTTCCCCTTTTCCGGCGGGTGCCTTACCTCCCTTGGGCTGGGCCAACTGGTGGTCGGCCTGCTCCGTCTCTGCCACTTGCCAGCTACGCCTCGGCTGGCGCAGGGGGCGGAACCACACATGTGCGGCACTCCCGGGCAGGGAAAGTCCTCGACTTACGACCGGTTTAGTCCTCGACTTACGACCGGTTGGGGTCGCGGCATTAAAAAGGTTGAGAACCACTGACCTATGGCTTCAGCAGAGGGTTGAGTTGCATTTTAGTCTGGGAGCAACTTCTCTTCAAATAAGCCAACCTAAAATAGCAATGTTTTATATGTACCCTGGCATTTGTTTTTGTAGATTTGAGACAAAATCTACAAAAGAAATTCCGGGAGGAGAGTGAGGCAAAAGTGTCAACAATTTCTTCTATCCAGCTTTAATAATACAGGTTGCTCTCAATTTACCACCACAATTGAGCTCAAAATTTCTGTTGCTCGGCAAGACAGTTGTTAAGTGAATTATGCCCTATTTTACGATCTTTCTTGGCAGTTGATAAGTGAATGAGTGCAATTGTTAAGTTAGTAACACGGTTGTTAATTGAGTCTGGCTTCCCCATTGACTGCTTGTCAGGAGGTCACAAAAGGTGATCACATAAATTCCAAACGCTGCAACCGTCATAAATATGAGGTAGATAAGTGTCTGAATTTTGACCATGTGACCATGGGGATGCTGCAATGGGTTGTAAGTGTGAAAAACAGTCGCAAGTCACTCTTTTCAATGCCATTGCAACTTCAAACGGCCACTAAACAAACGATTGTTAAGTCGAGGGCTGTCTATGCTGAAGTGTGGGATATAAAAGTTAATGACATCTGCCAAAACCAGGAAAGTTAGGACAGAAACATTCCTAAGTAAAAAGGGTATTATTTCCGTCGCAAACAAGTGGCATGCTTTTTGCAAACGTGCACAGAGGTAGTAACTAAGGAGCCATGGAAGAAGGCATTTGGAAAAGCTTTCCAAAAGGCAAGGAGCAACATAAATTAATTCCCAAGGAGACTGTGGTGTCAGATTATGAAGAGATGGCAACCAGTCAACATTATTTCCTCATCTGTGATGAAAGAATTTTTCAAAGGGGGAACGGAGAGAGGGTTACACAGAAGAAATCCAATGCTAGCAGATAGTGCTAAGCACAACTGTTAAAAAAAACTCTTATAGTTGGCAGCAGGTGTTTTGTTTTTGGTTTTGTCAGAACTGTAGAGGCACGTTGTTTTTTTGGGACGTCAACTAGAATTAGCCAAGAGCAAAATTCAAAATAAAGCTTTGTAGTATCCCTCTGCAATCAGCCAGAAAGAGGGATGTATTCGCTCACATTTTGTACCTCTTGACAGCCTGAATAAGGGAATATGTAGATTTACCAAAAACACATTTTCATTCCAGAATTGGAAAGAAAAAACTCTCCCTTAAGGGATTTGTGAAGCTCCTTGTATTCTGGATAAATCCACAACACCTGTGTCCCTTGAATGGACTGAATGTGTATCCTTAAAAGACATTTGCAATAACTTTCTTAATATTCTTTATCTGGATATTTGGATAAAACTGAAACAGACATTAACAAGGGAAGCAAACAAAGCGTCAAACCCTCGGGTTAAAGAAAAATCTCAAAGACCTCTAGGGACATCAATTGATGTTCTTCATAGCATCACAGACATTTTTTTAAAAAACATATATGCATGTACAAATGTATAGACATGTGTGCGTGCGTGCATGCATACATTCAGTCCGTTCAGTGTTTTAAAGAGATTTGAAATTAAAATAATTATAATAAAAATATACAAATCAACCAAGCACAGTTAGATGCTGGGGAAAAGTTTTAAAAGCATCAAATAAGTAATTGTTTCATATTTATCTAGGTTCATAAAAAGTCTTTTTAAGAGAAGTTAGGGACAGATAAGGCTTGCTAGCGATGGAAACTAATATATGGACGCTGACTGTTGAAAATAATTTATGTAGCTGAAACAAATTTCTTTGATAGAAGTGGTATTTGAAGAAAAGATACAGCCAATAACTTCAGCACTGATAGTTACTGTGGAAGAAAGAGTGCCTTAATATACGCTAGTCCCAAATTTTCTAAATTAAAAATTAGCATTTTAAAAGAGGGAGAAATAATTACATTCTACAAAACGTGAATCTTCTAAAAACTTTTCTTTCTTAAAGCACTGCCTACACATACAGCAGTGCCAGAGTATCTATTTTTATTATCAACTGTTGCCTCCCAAATTAGCAAACTCACAGTTCGTTCAGCTTTTGGCAGAAGTTCCATCCAGCGGGATTGATACTGGATATCAGGTTGTTACTCAGATGAAATTGTTGAAGGGACACCAGACCATACAGGGAACCACCGTTCACTTCTGTGAGGACATTGTGCTCCAGGTGCCTACATGAAAGACCAAGTTGGACATTTTAAATTGCACGCAAACTTGCACCCGACATTGTTTTTTACTACAAAATTCCCCAAATCTGCAATTTCTTTATCTAATGAAGAAGGGAAAAAAACATAATCCAAATAGCATGCTTATTTGACTTCTGGGATTATAGCTGACATGAAATTCCTTGCATGGTATTCCAACACCCTAACATTCTGTTACTGATAAAAGTAAAGACACCTCCAAGTCAAACTTGACCCTTGTTGACTGCATGGAAATATTCTTTTGGCAATGAGACAGAAGTGCTTTGCTGGTGCCTGCTTCTGGGATGTTTTTGCAGTTTCACAGTGTAACCTAAGGACTTCCTTCCTTCCTTCCTCCCTTCCTCCCGCCCTCCTTCTTCACTCACTCACTCACTCACTCACTCACTCACTGATTCTGAGTTCCACTCGGTGCTGCCCCTATCATAAGCCCTGTTACTAAATCAAACATCTAAACAAGGGGTATATAATCTTTTTACACTCTAGGTCTGTACTGGAAAAGGTCTTCAGGGCTAGGAGGCAACATAATCTTGACTTAAAGGAATTTAAATGAACTAAATGTAGGTAATACCATTACTGTCCATGTATTTAATGATTTCCTCTTCCTTTATATTAAGAACCACCATTCAGAAGTAGCCCTTGGAGGGGCTCGAGAATTGCAACCAAGCTTTGGAGACTGTGCAAATATGGCTTTGGGCCATAAATTGTGCACCTTTACACAAATAACAGCAAAAGTCTATATATGCTCTCCCAGAAGTGATTCCACTTCATTCAAAAGGATTGCCCAAAAGCAGATGTTTCAGGCACCAAAAATCACATATCTGCAGTCATGCTGTGATGTGGGAGGATGACTTCCTTGGTATCCAAAGAAAATGTCAAAAGAAATACAGTATTCCTTAAAATCTATCAACGTAACTATTGACTTACAGAACCTCCATTTTGGCCAGTCCCCAGAAAGCTCCATCCGTTAACTTGCTTATATTGTTGCGCTGCAGCTTCAAAACTTCTAAACTGTCCAGTCCATGAAATGTCAACCCTTCTATCAAACGAATACGATTCCGATTTAACTCTCTGAAAATGACCAACAGCACAGAAAGATATTAACTCAAGTCTTTCTCAATGCAACAGCCAGGCATAGGAAATGAGGAACAGAGTGGCAACTCCTTACATTAGACACATTTTCTGTCAAAATGTATACATTCTATTTATATATAAAATACATTCTACAGTATTTTGTTTGTAAAAATTACATGCTTTAGAATGCAATGGGATTCCTTTAGTGACCTTGTAAAAATATCGAAGTTTTCAACCATAAGATTTTTTACCACAAACAGAAGGCAGTATGTATTGTATTTCTTCCTAATATAAACGTAATTGTATGCTATTAACATTTATTTCTTGTAGAAAATGGTTCAAAATCTTGCTATTTATTAAATTCTTTGTATACGTATAGAAGAAATCAACCTAATTTACTTCAGGCTGATTAGAATAAAAATGGTTTGTCTGGAATAATGAATGGTTTATGTAGTCCAGGCATGTCAAACTCACGACGTCACGTGACGTCACGCAACGTATCAGGCCGGTTTTGCCATTGCCGGCAATGGGGTGGGCGCGGCTTCCACGTGATGCGTCCAGCCCGCAGGCCGGCAGTTTGACACCCCTGATGTAGTCCATAGGTATTTGGTACACAAGGCCAGATTTCTACCTCCCAAAACCTCATCTGAGTAATCCAGTGAGTAGAGATTATTGGTACTATAGCCTAAAAAAATCTGGAAGACCACAGGATTTTCACCTCCGCCGTTTATTTCAATTATAAGCAAAAGCATAAATTTGAATTTTTGAAAACAGAAAAAATGAATACGTGAGTCATCTGAACAGAAAAAAGTAATCTGGTTACAAAAAACAGGAGAAAATAAAATAATATTAAATTAACCACAAAAGCCAAATGGGCCCAAATGCTATTAATTTGATTTTAAAAAGGAAGGGGAATATACTTCCTTGCTTATTTCACTTTTAAAAATTTCCCTTATTTTTTTTTTTACAGGTAGTCCTTGAATTATGACCATTTGTTCAGTGACTGTTCAAAGCTGTAGCCAAATGAACAAAATTCAGCTCACACCTATAACTGGTTCCAGCATCCCAAAGTCATGTGATTGCCATTGCCAACCTTTTCTGCCAGCTTCCCACAAACAAAGTCAATAGGGAAGCTGGCAGGGAAGGTCACAAGTTGCTTGGTACACTTCCCTTCTTTGTTGGTTTTCTTTGTTTGCACACCCTGCACCCTCCTTTCCCCTGTGCTTTCTAGCCCCTACCTGTTCCCTCCTTTCCTGGCCTCCTGTGTTCACATACATGCACACATCCACCAGCACTTTCCTTCTCTGGGCCTGCTTGCATTCACATACACACACACACAATACCAGTCCCCTTCTTCTCTGAGCCTCTCTGGACTTGCACACAGGGACATACCCACCAGCGTCCTCTTTTCCTGGCCTCCCTGAACTCGCGTCACACACACCAGCATGCGCACAACTTGCACCGGGCTTCCCAAGACACATCCCTTTGTGACAATCCTGCATTCCTTGCCTGAGACTCCCTCCACTTCTCACTTAATGACCCACATGTCTTTGGGTTATGATGACAACTAGGACTGCCTGGATTGCTGTTGCTAAGCGATGTATTCACATGATGTTGTATTTTATGACTGCGTCACTTAGCAATGGCAATATTTATCCCAATTGTCATTGTAACTCGAGGACTACCTGTATTATCACATGAAATCTTACACTAACTATGCTGAATCTACCCTTTGAGTTGGGTTCCAAACTTCAAGAAAGTAGCAAGCAAATGTTGATGCCGAAGGTCAATTATATGTACATAATGCGCTGTCACAGATGCAGATCAAATGCAGCCTACACTGTACCTTGGACAAACAAACAACAACATGCGCGCTAACCATCAAAAGCACCCTTTGTCTACCCTAAATGTCAACTCCACATTCTTTCTTCCCTGCAGTTTGAACACCGTATGTGAAAACAGGGTTTAAGAAAGCCCTCTCAATCCTGCTTTTCTCTCAATTGTGTGCCCACAAAATAAAAGTAAAAACCAGAAAGAGAAAGGCAGCCTCTTTTATAAAAATATGCACACACACGCACTGACTGACATAAGGAAGAAAATTTATCACATATATTCTAGTTAATGAATACTCAGATATTTTCCTTCCTTTCTTTTGGTCCTATTAAGAATGTAAGCTGAAAAAATCAATCCTGGGTGGAGCCACACCCAATTTTTTTATTTACTTCATTCACGCCACAAAAGACCACTAGGATATGCTTTAATCAACATTTCACACATGCAGGCTGAAGGATTGTGTTTGGTGAGGTGTCCTTAGGGAGCTCGAGCTTGGCAAGTTATAATTAAACTGCACATTTCTACTCACAGTTGTGTTAGATGGGGCAGTTTGAATGCTTTGACGGGAAGTTGGACAATTCTGTTTTTATTCAGGCGAAGTGTCAGCAGGGATCGTGACAAGCTGTTAAAAGCCTTGGTGTCTAGGACGCTGATCTTGTTGTTCCCCAGGTAGCTGCAATAATTTATAACAGAACATTCAAAATGGTTGTGTTGGAGGTCCTGATTAATCCTTCTTTATCTGAGCAGGTGGTGACATCAGACATGCTGTTTTCGGAAACCAAATGTCTCCCTGCTCTAACAACAATCAAGCCGTTTTGCACAATTTATAGGCAGGTGGTGATTAAAAGATTCCTCCGATCTGAAGCACTTCCAGTCTCCTTCCCCTCTTCAAATGCCTTTTGATGAACTAAAGCTTCCAGAATTGTATCCTGTTTTTCTTGCTTTGAATTCTGGAGCAGTAGTCCAGATGAGAAAGGATGTCCATATAGGAATCAAAGCCAAACCAAAAGCAGAACCAACACACATTGTATACCGGTAAGTTTAATAATCACTGGAAAAGACCCTGATGTTGGGAAAGATTGAAGGCCAAAGGAGAAGGGGATGGCAGAGGATGAGATGGTTAGATAATGTCATTGATGCAATGAACATTAAGTTTCACAAATTCCAGGAGACAGTGGAGGACAGAGGGGCTTGGTGTGCTGTGGGCCATGGGGTTACTAAGAATCGGACATGACTTAGCCACTGAACAACAACTAAGTATAATAAAGCATACTGAAAGTAGGACAACTGCATTCCATGTAGATTAAACATTGCCTTCTGAAGAAATTAGTTTCAATTACATTAGCTATCCTTAAAATGGGAATGACAGTGTCTTCATTCATAGGGATGTGAAAGAACAACAAGTCTAGTGAGATAATAAATTCTTTGTCTATTTAACCAGAATTCCAAAATCTATCAAACAGATCTGAACACAGAATAATGGATGAAATATGATGAGCACCAATGATGTAAAATAATAGTGCAAGAGGAAAAGCCAATGGCATACAGCCAGCCACAATCTTTATAAAGACAACATTCTTAAATTAAGAGAGTTGGGATTGTTAATTGCAATAAATCTTGCGATCTACTAATCATCCGTATCTCCAGTCCCTCAAACTATTCAAATGTTTTGATTTTTATAACTGGCTTATCTATGAGTGACACATTTTAATGGTATTTGAAGGTTGTCTTATCCATTGATGGGTTTATCCAGAAATATATATGGGTCCTTTAAAAAAGTATTGCTATATATACTTGCAGATAAGGCCATACTTGCAGATAAACTATCAACCAAACTCAGTTTTGGAGGGAGTAGTTTAGAACCTAAAATTCTCAACTTATCTATAAGTTTATTCTCTCTCTCTCTCTCTCTCTCTCTCTCTCTCTCTCTCTCTCTCCCCCTCTCTCTCACACTCTCACTCTTCATTTTCATTTATTACAGTACCATTCAACTGCTGTACAGTTGAAAATAATTGATGAGGGAATGAAGCAAAGGGCAAAGTTTTTCTTCTTTACTGGTGGGAATTTTGGCTCCCATATTTTGTCTCAAGCCATTTTGAATGTAAAGAAAGACAGTACAGAAACAGTTCCACTGTATATCCCGCCCCCACTGGTTAATGATCAATTCTGACATGTTGTTGCATCAGAAATCAGAGAATGTGATTCTTCATTTAAAAAAATGTATTCATCATAACGGACATATATAGCATTATGAAATGTTCAGCATTAGCATTTTAATTCTAATTCAAAGTAATTAGGGAAAATAAGAAAGACATTTTAATTTAAAAACCTGATGAAAGAATTTCATCTATTGATTATTTGTGGTAGGTATATATGACAGAATATAATTGAACTTCGTGTTCTTTGCACTTTCACGCCTCACACCTCTCATATCAGCTACTGTAAGAGGCCATGAAAAAAAAAAAGATGGCCAGAAAAACTCAGTTTCCATATCAGCTCAATAGGAAGAGGCAGAAGTTGATGACAGAGAGCAAAAACCAAGTATCCCTGTTCCATTCCTTCCATAAGCATAACATGACCAATGAAAGAACTGGATACTAGAGATGATATACATACAAGAGATGCAAATGAACAGCACTCATTTGAGTTTTAACCCGTATTATAATCGGTAACCCTTTTTTAAAAGATCAAAGTAACCTGAAAGTCAGTTGTTCTTGTATAAATGAGTACTTTTCCATAAAACATTTTAAAAAGAAAGAAAACTTACAGATCCTTTATGGGAAGCCCCACCGGGAAACAGCCACTTCGGATTTCTGTGATGTTATTTGAGCTGAGGTCTAACGTTTCCAGGGAAACATAAGGCTCCAGCTGGCTGGCTTCGATGCCGTGGATTCGGTTGCGATTCCTGCCACACAGAATGGAGAAAAGTCAGACATAAACTCACTTTTTGCCCTTTTGGGTTAGAATATAATAGTACATCCATACAGCAAGACACAGGTCTTTGTAACTGATCTGGCACTTTGCATCGGATGGAGTAAAGGAGTACAGCTGAATTTAGAATGGGAAGATAAAACTTGTCATTAGAATGACAGAAATTGATGTAGATAAGCAAAACACTATGGAAAATATCCAGCGGAAAGAAAGACCACTTTGAAGCTATAAGTTTAAGACCATGATCTACTGACTATGCTATTATTTACTTAACCATCATTTGTTGAGTAAACAATGACTGGCTGAGTCTACATTTGGTGCTTATCCATAAACTATGTCTGATCTACTGTGGCTAGATTCACACATCACATTCTGACAAAACCAAAGCCCATTATGACTTAGCACCATGTATGAAACTAGCCAAGAGACCCTGTTCTGCACTACATGAGAAATAACTGCACGCAGAATGGAAATCTGTCTAAGATCTGTATTCCTGAGGAACGTTTAAGTTGACCAAGATTGCAGTCACAGGCTGCCTCAATAGCTGAGATTATAGATTAAGCAGAACCAATTATGCAGGTTATCATTATATTACTGAGTAAACATGTGAGACCTCTACTGGGCAACCCTGAAAAGAGGGAAGGGCTAATCTACAGGTGGATATCCTTTGGGAGTACAATTAAGTCTGCCAGTTTGCCAGAGAAGCCAATATTTTTTTCATGAATGAAAACGAATATACGTACCACAGCATAATGTTGCAGGATCCAATCTGGGTCAGTCACTGGGACCAGAGGTTTAGACTTCCGAGCTTTTGGACTCTTGCTGGACCCCATCGTCAGGGAACTTCTCTCTAGCAGAGACTGTGTCAGAAAGAGCACACATTCTGCTAGAGCAGGGGTAGTCAACCTTGGCTCTTTTATGACTCGTGGACTTCAATTCCCAGAATTCCTGAGCCAGCTTAGCTGGCTCAGGAATTCTGGGAGTTGAAGTCCACGAGTCATAAAAGAGCCAAGGTTGACTACCCCTGTGCTAGAGAGAGGTTCCCTGACGATGGGCTCCAGCATGAGTCCAAAAGCTCAAAAAAAAAACTAAACCTCTGGTCCCAGTGACTGACCCAGAGTGAATCCTCCAATATTTTCTGCCTTCCCCTCTTTTTTTCCAAGGGGGAAATGGGAATGTATAGCTGGATACGTATTTCTTACCCCTGCACAAAGTAGAACTAAGCCCTGCATTCTCTTCTCTGAATAAAACAAAGAGAGTGGAACATTAAATAACTAATGAGACAAGGAGCTTCATCCTTGATCTTACTGAGAGGGCCTATGAGTTTCTTCAGTCAAGCTTAAGTTGCCTCAGAAACTGAACGTGGTCGGTTTCCAAAACTGAAGAGCCTTTCTATGAATTGCATTAACATTTGCAATTTACACACAGGCAGGAGGTAAAGCGTTGACGTTCGTCTGCAGCGCGGATGGCGTGAGAAATGATAAGAGTAAAACAGGTGGTGCTACTTCAAACAATCCCGGCTTTCCTAGGAATACCGAAGTATGCTTTAGAAAGTAAGATTATATCTTAATCCTGACGAGGAGGCTGTGCTAAGTATCTGTGTGAATATTTATTGGAAAGTCTTTCAGCAAGTAACATTACCTGGGAGGAGGAAGACTAACCTGAGCATAGAGATGATTAGGCTCCTCCATAATGGAGGTCATTTCTGAAGAATGGGAAAGCAAGATGAAACCATACAGTTAGCCTTCATCTAGGATCACCTTACAGTATTAGTCAGTGGGTTTTGTTTTTTTTTAAGTTAAGTCTTAACAGAGCAAAACTCCACCTGCTGCAAGCAACAAAACCAAGCTTCAAATAACCAGAGAACTCAGAAAAACATTATTTTAATTCTGATACAATAATTTTCAGATCTATAGTTCTTCTTTGTATCCTACAGTTTATCAATTACTAAATTTTCAACCAACATTGTATACACATTCATGTCCCAAGAAACACATCACCACAAACATTCTTACACATTTTCTATATGTTCATCACACAATCAATAGGACATTATACTTCCCCAATTTTGCATTATTCACTACTTATTTCATTGTACTCAGTCATCCTTATGGTGCTTTATTTCTATCACATATTGCTCTTAACAGCAATCCACAGTAAAACTTTAATTTTACATCTGTTCACTTTGTTCACATGAGTTCTCATTAAGCCCACAAAACAAACACTCTGTCTCCTTTCACACATTTCTTAATGAACAGCTAAACAGTAGAAATCTGATCCACAACCCCATACTGAGCAGAGAGCCACACTGTACTTTAAAAATTTTGTTCACCATTGTTCACCATTTACTTTTTCAGTAAAAACTTTTGACACACACAAAATAAACATTCTTGCCCACATACCACAACACAATGGTGCATGTTATATACTGAACATATGCAGGATTCAATGGTCAAAACACTGAGAACTCTAGGACAATAACACATGTGGCAGGCAAGAACTCTTATAAATAATCTTATACTTGATCAAAAAGTCTGCAATTTATTGCCCCAAACAACAGATTGCTTGTCCCCAGAGTGAGCAGCCACATACCGACCAAATTTTATGAGCAAGAAACAATTGGTTTTACTCTGATGATAGAATGATCTTTGATCCAACATAAGATTATGCCAGTGGACTGGGAAGAAGAAAGGTTCTTCACAAGTGTGGGGGGGAGGGGAGAGGGAGAGGAAAAATAAAATTTGTGCCTCTTCCTAGTTTGGAAGGTCTTTTATTTCAGTCAGTCATTTCTGCTCTATTCACCTCAAGACTTGTCTACTGCAGTGTGCTATACATAGGGCTACCGCAGCAATCAGAAACTTCAATTAATCCACAATACAGTGATGTAGAATTGTAGACAGACAAGGACATGCCACATTTTCATGAGACCTCTACCCCGGAAGCTGCACTGGTTACCAGTATGCTTCTGGATGTGATACAAGGCTATTAATTATAAAGCTTTACCTGGCATAGGGCCAGTTTATTTGAGAAATTATCTGTCCCCATGGTTTCAGGGAACATCTTATTCCAGAGGGCAGGCACCACAACAGAGAAGGCACACTTTCTGGATCCTGATAGATGGCACTATGTAATCCAAGGGACCTAGCCAGCACGGGCCAACAAAATTGATACAATGAAGGTCCCTTGGATTACATAGTGCCATCTATCAGGATCCAAAAAGTGTGCCTTCTCTGTTGTGGTGCCTGCCCTCTGGAATAAGATCCTCCCTGAAACCCATCTAGCCCCACCCTGTTGATATTCTGTAAAGCAATTTTTTTTCTTAATTTTATTTAATTCCCACCTTCATTATTTTTATAAATAACTCAAGGTGATGAACGCACAAAATACTCCTTCCTCCTCCTATTTCAAACATTGTGAGGTAGACTGGGCTGAGAGAGAATGATTGGCCCAAAGTCACCCAGATGGTTTTCATGCCTAAGGCAGCACTAGAACTCACAGTCTCCTGGCTTACTTAACCACTAGACTAGGGGTAGGCAACCTTGGCTCTTTTATGACTCGTGAGCTTCAACTCCCAAAATTCCTGAGCCAGCTGGCTCAGGAATTTTGGGAGTTGAAGCCCACGAGTCATGAAAGATCCAAGGTTGCCTACCCCTGCTCTAGACCAAACTGGTTCTCTGCGATGAAGATTTGGTTGTCCTCCCAGGCCTTGAGTTGAGATGAGTTCGGCCCCTTGTTGGATGTTTCTTTGTCTATGGCTGTCCAGAATGACTGGATCCCATCTTGTTCTGTTTTGTATTTGGGTTTATTTTATGATGTATTATATTGAGAATCAGTTGGAGTTGATCAGTGACTACATGAATTAATTAATTAAATGAGTAAAATCTACGATGGGGAACCTAGATTTCCTAACATAATTTACTGGTAGCCAGAGGAAGATGATACTAGCACAGCCCTTTTGGAGGTTTTATAGGAAATACACATATTTTCCATCCAAAGCATTTCAGATGCATGCAAACATGGTACATACGATAGGTTAATGCCTGCATTCTGATAAAGATCTCAGAATTTATACCTGGAACTCCCAGATCCAGGGCTAAAAGACCAGGAAAGAAATCTATTCACTTTCTTCAAACTCCAATGCCATTCAAATAGGCCAGATGGAATCGTAATGACTAATGATATGCCTTGAGAGATTCAGACATTTCAAAAGAAGAACAAAATTGGCCATAACGAGTCAAGGATAAAACAAGCATTTTAACTTCATGCTTACTTTTGCCATAATTTGTCTTGAAATGCAGGCTACCCTATACATGTTTCCTATGCATTGTAATAATGGGTCACGGTAATGAATATGTATTACATTGTATTGCTCCACACATGACTTCCAGCAAAACAAGGGAAAGTCCATCCTTTGAATCATGCCCTTTGTTTTTATTAATACTTCTGCTATCCTATATTTCCCAAGGAAATCGCAAAGACTGGTTGCAATGTGTTCATCAGGCAGGAATGACTGACTATCCATAAAAGCACACCATACTTTTCTAAGAGCCCACTGAATCACAAGGTCCAAAGGGAACATCTGGTAGATTCTCAAAGCTGTTGCCAAAGCTGTTCAGGTAGAGCTCAAATGAGAAGAACATGTACTCCTAATATGCAACATAAACTGTATGCACCAACATTTTAATTAGTAGCAGCACTGGCCCTGGAGTAAGATGATGGGTTTGCTTGGATACACAAAGGAGTGAAGAAAGCCAAATCCCCTGTTTGGATTTCCTATCTGCAGGAATTTATGGAGGTTTTATTTCCCTGAAATGAAGACCGGCTGCACAGAAGTACAACCACTAATCACCACAGGATAAATGTTAAGCAGTGGGGTTTAAAACTCTTAAGGAAAAAGTACCACAGGTCTGCAGATGATTAAAGCTATCTGAAAACAGAGTGTCCTTTCAAGCTGTTGGTAACATCAGTGAGTAG